CCCGTGTGGATGCGCTGGTGTTTGGTCAGGGACGAGCTGTGGCTGAAGGCCTTGCCGCACTCCCCGCACTCGTAGGGCTTCTCCCCCGTGTGGATCCTCTGGTGCTGAGTGAGGTGCGTGCTCTGCCTGAATGACTTCCCGCAATCCTGACATTCGTAGGGCTTCTCCCCCGTGTGAGTCCGCTCGTGCTGGCTGAGCGATGAGCTGTGGCTGAAGGTCTTCCCACACTCATTGCACCCATAGGGCTTCTCTCCCGTGTGGATCCTCCGATGCTCGGTCAGGAGCGTGCTCTGGCTGAAGGCCTTCCCACACTCATTGCACGCGTACGGCTTCTCTCCCGTGTGGGTCCTCTGATGCTGAATCAGCGGTGTGATCTGCGTGAAGGCCTTCCCACACTCGCGGCACTCGTAGGGCTTCTCCCCCGTGTGGATGCGCTGGTGTTTGGTCAGGGACGAGCTGTGGCTGAAGGCCTTGCCGCACTCCCCGCACTCGTAGGGCTTCTCCCCCGTGTGGATTCGCAGGTGCTGGGTGAGGTGGATGCTTTGCCGGAAGGCCTTGCCGCACTCCCCGCACTCGTAGGGCTTCTCCCCTGTGTGAGTCCGCTCGTGTTGACTGAAGGAGGACCTGAAACTGAAGGCCTTTCCGCACTCCCCGCACTCGTAGGGCTTCTCCCCCGTGTGAGTCCTCTGGTGCTGGATCAGTGGGGCAATCTGGTTGAAGGTTTTCCCACACTGAGTGCACTTGTACGGTTTCTCACCGGTGTGGATTCTCTGGTGTTTGGCAAGTGCTGAGCTGTTTCGGAAGCCTTTTCCGCATTCGTGACACTCATAGGGTCTCTCTCCCGTGTGCGTGCGGTGGTGCTCGGTAAGTGCTGAGCTGTGACCGAAGGCCTTTCCACAGGCCTGACATTTGTAGGGCTTCTCCTTTGCGTCCGTTTTCTGTTGGGCACTGAACTCTGGTTCTGGCTTGCCCCTCTTCCCGCGCGTCCCCGGCATGCGGAGGCCGTGTCTTTCGGGAGCCGGTGGCTGAGGTGGGACTCTGGGCTTCAGAGTCAGGTTTTCCCCGAACCCATTGCCCTGCTGCTGCTGCTGCGCGGGCGTCTTCCCAGGCGTGAGGGCTGCTCGCGCCGCACGGCTCTGTCCCCGGCGGCCCTCGGCGTCGCCACCCTCAGGGTACCACAGGCTGTCCCCCAGGAACCTTCCCACCAGGACACTGCTGGCTGTTCTCTCCGTGACGTCTTGCTTTGGAGCTGACAGTCTGGTTTTGGGTCGAGTTTCCAAATCTGAAACAAAAATGGAGATGTTCTTTAATTTCAGTTTGGGGGGAAGAGTTTGTGGTGGGTGGGTGGCTAAAGACTAAAACGGATGGTTTTGAAAGGCTGAAGGCACAGGTGGCTTTGACCACTTAAAAATACAGCTTTGCAAATCAGGGAAGGAGCAGGAGCAGGAGGGAAAGCACAGAGAATAGTCAGGGGTGGGGGACCTGGCGTAGGGACGCGAAGGGAGCTTGCAAGGGGAGCACAGAGAATGAGGGCAGGGAGAGGACGCGGGGCGGACAGCGAGCATCTAGGGAAGTTGCCAACAGATGCCCCAGGCTGGAAGGGGCAGAGCAGCTGCCGGGCCTGGCGAAAGCAGCCTCCAAGTGCCAGTTGGTGATGGAAGAAGAGCCGCCTCTCACAGGTGAAGGACCAGCCAGCCCAGCCCTCCCACTGCTCAGGTCCAGTTTCTTCCTGGTGGTCTCTTGCTGTTGTTCCACATCGGCCAGGTGTAAAGAGACCACCGGCCCCCCCCAGCCCGGAGACAGCTGAGATGTGTATCGCCAGAAGTAGGGGTAAATGACCCGAGGCGAACAAGAGGACTTGGATCTGGTCTGTCGGGTCTGTCTCACCCACTGGGAGCTCCCTGAGGGCAGGGCTTCTGTCCCCCTCGGTCACCACTGCACCTCGCCCCCAGCAGAGGCCAGCAGACATGCTGCACGAACAAACAAATGCATCCCCTCCTCCTCCTTCCTGGCAGGACTGCCTTTTGGCCCCGGGACCCAGTCTGCCCTGCACATCCACGGCCTCAGTGCCTGCCGTCCCACCCCAACGCTGGACTGGCCTAAAGGTGTGAGGTGGGCGCCCTGCCCGTTTACGTTACGCTCTAATGAAGTGTTCAGGGGGTAAAAAGAAGGTCACGCCAGGTGTGGCTGGCAAAACGGTGGCTCCCAAACATGTCCGTGTTCTAATTCCCAGAACCAGCGAGGAAGGAAGGTTGCCAGTCCTCTGACATTAGCTAATCCTCTGCGATTACCCTGGATTACCCTGGCGGGCCCAAGGCAATCACAAGAGTTCTGATCTGAGAGGGAGAGACACGTAGGAGGGCCGGGGCCAGGGTGACGGGAGAAGAGCTCAGGGCCATGCTCACTTGGACGATGGACAAGGCTGTGAGCCAAGGAACGCGGGCACCTCTGCAAGCTGGAGAGTGAAAGGAAATGGGTTCTCGCCAGGCTCTGCAGAAGGAATGCTGCCTGCACTGTGGTGCGCTGGCCTCCAGAATGGGAAGACGATTCGTGTTGCTTTAAGCTGCTAAGCTTGTGGTACTTTGTTACGACAGTCATAAGAAGCTAATATCCTAGGTAAGGGCTGGCTACTCCTGAAGCTGGAGAGACTCAGTCGTGACCCCCTCGCCCACACTGGCCATTTCTCCTGGGCCCTGGTGATGGGCTGCTGCTGAAACTGGGTCAGGGCCCGACACAAGTGCCGGGAAGCCCCACCTCCTGCAAGGCTGGTACTGGTCTCAGGAGCTGGATAAGATGTATGAAGAACACAGCCCCACGGGGCACGTGGAAAAGCCCAGACTGGATCCACCGACCCACAGATACATGAGTTGTAAAAGATTCTGTGGTTTAAACCACTGAGGCTGGAGTGTTTGTTACACAGGAAGAGCAGGCTGCTGCCCAACCCCAGTGCCTTTGCACTTGCTGTTCCTTCTGCCTGGAATTCTGTTCCGCCAGCTTGTTTCATGGTGGCACTGTTCTCATGACTCACGGCTCACACGTCCCCTCCCTGGAAAGGCTTGCCTCATCTCTGCTCAGGTCCTCCGCACAACCTGGCCTCTGCCTTTGACCCGTGTTTACTTCCTCAGCATTCATCATACGCCGTGAGCGTCTTGTGCAGCTGTCATTCTACCTGTTTACTGCGTGCCCCTTCCCTCACCAAGAATGTGAATTCACTGAAGGTCCCATTCACAGCAGAACAGGTGCTTGGTGCACGTTTACTGAAAGACTGAGTAGTCAGTTTGCTCAGAAGAATGCGAGAGGAGATATGGAGAGACAGTGCCCCGGGGGTGAATGGGCTCCTCCCAGCCCTGCAGGGCTCTCCCCTCACCTGAGCACGCACCCCGGGGAACCCCCTCATCCACCGCCCACAGCTCCTCCTCCTGCTCCAGCAGGGAGATGACGTCCAGCTTGGGGAGCCAGCATCCTGCTCGAGGGAGACCCACAGGTGCGCCTTTGTGTTCCAGGACCCTTCTCACCCCTCTGTCCACTCCACCTTCCTTCTTCTGGGACCCACTTGGCTGCAGGCCCCAGAGGCCACAGTTGTGGAAGAGGCCCTGGTGTCAGGCCCTGGAGGGACCCCAACCCTGGCTCTGGGGGGATGTGTGACCCCACCCCGGCCAATCCAAGCTCTCCTGCCTCCCCGCCCGCTGGCAACAATGACCAGCATGGAGGGGACTGAGCTGCCACACAAGACAACCCACGGCCTTCCATGGGGGCCCCCCACACAGACCCTGTCTTTTTGGCTGGTCTCAGACACACAAGAGGTGCTGTGGCAGCTCTCCTCACCTCCGGGGCCCGTCTGTGAATGGAGGCAGAAAGAGGTGGCGCTGTCAAGACTCGGCCCTGGACCCAGAGGGAGGAGGTATGAAGGGGGACTCCTGACAGGCCCCAGGAGAACTCAGGTCTACCCTGGGATTCTGCAGTCATGGGACCCACTATGGCCCTCTTGCCCCATGATTTCCTGCTTCTGGCGTTTTCAGGTGGGATCTGTAACTTGCAACCAAACATCAGGAATCTAAGGCCCAAAACTCATCCCAGGTATTTGCTTTTAAGGCCCAGACCTACCCCTACTTTTAACCCAGGAGAATTAGAATCTGTGCTGGGGGCAGACCATCGGGGGTTCAGGCGTGGCCTTACCCACGGAGACCAGGAGCCTGAAGGTCTCCAGCATCACATCGTGGTACAGGGTCCTCTGGGCAGGCTCCAGCTGCCCCCACTCCTCCTGGGTGAAGTCCACAACCACGTCCTCAAAGGTCACTTGCTCCTGAAACAAATGTCACATACAAATGTCCTCACCTAGGCCAAGCCTGGCAATGGCTGCTAGTGGGAGCAGCTGGTGGACAGCGACAGCCAAGCTGAGGCAGGGAGGGGTTTTCTCAGGTCTGAGGATTTGGGCCAGGTTTTCCTGGGGGGCCTGGGGGCTCTGCTGGAGGAAAGGGGGTCTTAGGATATAAGAGGACACACCCTAGTCGTGCAAGCACCCCTGAGATGCCATCATGGCAGTGACCGAGGGAGGGGACAGAAAACCTCCCACCCATCAGCTAGAACGTTCCCTGGTGTCCATACCTGCAGTCACCAAGCCGCAGACTCATGTAAATCTGCGCTGTGCATGACGATTCCTGAATACAATGTGGGGCGAGAGAAAAGAGCGAGTGGAGTGGTGGGAACAAGCAGGTGAACCCAAGGGGGGGGCCAGTAACGGGACCTCTGGGAACCGTTTCCTAGTCTTTGATTTTGGACGTTTACATATTGGGGTAAGAACATGATCCCCAAGGAGAAAGGCTAATGGTGGCTCCTGGGTGATCCCGTCACCCCCCCACTTGTGTGTGTTTCTGAAATTCCCACACAAGGCCCGTTTCTTCCGCGACTGGGTGGGGAATTTACAATTTTCTTAAAGGCACATGAGGGGCAGGGGCAGACATCCTCCACAAAGGCAGTTTCATCTCACCAAATGAAGTGCTGTAGATGGCGGTGGGGGGGGGCGGGTATGTGGGGAGCAGAGGCAAAGTCCAGGCCCTCACCTTGACGTTGGGTGTCACTGACCCGAGTGAGGGGCAGTGAGGGACACACGGTGCCTAAATACTGGATCCTGGCCCAACGGGCAGCATCTGCCTCTGCTACCGTTTCTCCAGCCAAAGAAGGGGAGATGTGGGGCAGCAGAGGGTATGAACTAGGCATCTGGGGGGTGGCACTGTCAAGACTCGGCCCTGGACCCAGATGATTGGGCTTCAAACTCCAGCCCCAGGTCCATCTTTTAAAGTGCTCTGTGCCTCCCTGCCCTCATCTGTGAGTTAGTGAGAACTCCCCGAGAAGCCTGTTGGGAGGAGTAAGGGAGTTCACATGATGTGTGTGCCCCGGGCCTGGCAGAGTGGGTGCTTTACCTGTGTGAGCCACCATTCAGGTAGGTGTGCTGGGGGGCTTGGGGAGGTTTTATTTTCTTTCACCAATTTCCCCATTTCTGCTATATTTTCCAGACTCAATAGGTCTTAGTGGTTATCTGCAGAGTCCTAGTGAGCGGAGGTCACGGTTCTGGGCACCGCAGATGCCAGGGAAACAAGAGACGCACACCTGGCCACGTGGTGCTCGTGTGCTAGTTGCAGGGTCTGGGCGCTGACGAAAAATGACACCCCAGGGGGGTCAGTGCGCTAGAGAAAATGGGCGGGGCGCTGCTGGAATAGCCACGAAGGCAGTGGGATGTGTGCTGAGCGCTGGGGATGTTGGTGGGCGCACGTGGTCTGAGCTGGGCCCAGGCGTCCTGGCTCAGCCACTCCCAGCTGTGTGGCCTCAGGGCTGTGACGTGCCTCTGGGTCTTAGTTTCCTCCTTGCAACCTCATGGGGCTGATGTGGGGGCAGGATAAGGTGCAGTGTGTCCAGCACTGACCTCAGGCTTTGGCACATTTCCACCCATTCACTGAGTGCCTACTGTGTTCTGGGCCTTTGCACGTGGCAAAGATGATCAGAACTGCTTCCAAGGCCCTAGGCCCCCGGCAGTTGGCCTAGGAGACCTTGTTCTCAGTCTTCCTGTTACATGTGTGTGCCTGCCCCTTACGGAAAGTGCCTAGTGGGTTCCACCTCCAGGCCTTTGCTCATAGTATTCCCCCGGCCTGGAACATTATTCCTGTGGGCCTTGATCTCACTCCCTACCCCCCTGCAGGCCTCTGTTTGGGGGCCACTTCCTCAGGGAGGCCTTCTGGGCTATATTGGCTAATGCCTGGTGCCCAAGCCCACCTTCTTCTGGGCCTCATTTCCCTGCACAACACTTGGCACATTGACATTCCTCGTAGGGACTGTAAGCCCCAGAGGGATGGTGATTTTTTGCTCGTCCTGTCTGTTCCTGTACCTGCAATTCCTACAACAGTGCCTGGAAGGGCACCTGGTCAATGGCAGGTGCTAAGTCCCTGTCGCCTAAGGGACTGGATGGAGAGAGTGAGCCGGGAGTACACACCAGAACCCTGTGTTGAGAAAGAGCCAGACACATGAGTGGAATGATTGAGTGCTGTCTGCCAGGGCAGAATAGGGCAGGTGAAGGAATCAGGAGGAGCCTCTCAGAGGTGGTGAGGTGGGAGATCTGGAGGAAGACGGAGCTGGCCAAAGCACATTCCTGGCCGGGGGCAGAGTAAGGGTAAAGGCCCTGAGAGCAGAAGGAGTCTGGTGGGGACCTGAGGAGGCCCGGGAGGCCTGAGTGGGAGGGTGGTGGTGTACTCACCGGGGCCCCGGCAGTGAGGAGCCCAGCAGTCATTCCCTCCTCCTCTGGCCTCTTACAGGAACAGCCAGCTCCTCTGCAGGCAGTTCTGGGGGCACGGGGATGCGAGAGACTGGGCGAGTGCCTGTGGTGACCAGAAACCCCACACCCTGGAATCTATGTGCGAGTAGGAGGGGTTCTAGCTGCTAGAGCCTGGAGCCCTGCACCCAGGCCAAACCCAGCAGCAGTGAAACCTCAGCTTGGCATTTTCCAAGCACCTACTGTGTGCCCAGTACTACTCCAGGCATTGTTGACAGATCACCTTGAATTTTCCCAGCCCATTTCACAAATAGGAAAACTGAGGGCCACGGGCGGGCAAGGGGCACACCCCCAGTTGCCTAGGTGGGTGATGACTATTTGTTACTATGACAGAAAGCTAGACGGTTACGGAGTCTTTAGGCACTGTTGGCCTCAGTTTCCCCCTCCCATAAAATGAGAGTGGTGACCCAGCACAGAGATCATAGGAATTAGGGTGTGGCAAGGGCTGAATATGGAGCCTGGCACGCAGCAGTATACACGTGAAGGCAATCGGTGCTGGAAGACTTCAGCGAGCATCTGCTTAGCATCCACAACAGGCAGGGCCCTCATCCCTGGCCAAGTGCCCCGTAGGAAACTCAGGCCAAAGGTAGTATGCATTTCCCTTGTCTCTCTGTACCTCCCCTTGATGATGCTTCCTAGGCACCCAATTCTGTCCCATCCCACTTGTGTCCTGTTGTCTTCACAGCAGTTTCCAGGACGGGAGTTATGTGTCGACAGGTTTCTTATCATCTCCCTGCCTCTCCTGGGGGCTCTGGGGTCCGAGACAATATTCGGGGCTCTTGGTTTAGGATAGGGCCTGGCACCCAGGACATCTAAATATGGCTTGCTGAATTAATGAAGGAGCCTGGATGGTACTCAATGACTTTAACATAATGAGGCTGTTTTCTGGGTCCTAGGCGGCTGGGAGTGAAATGTTGTGCTTTTGGTCTCCCTCACGATCATCCTGAGAAGCCGCTCAGTAAGATGAAGCTCCAGAGCTGACTTCGCAGTGGGGCCTCGGCCCTCCCCACCCTCCAAACCCCGGACGTCCCAGCAAAGCAGGGGAAGGATGCAGGTCAGGATGGCTCCAGTCTCTGGAGGGTCGGACCAGCTAGTATCTCTGAGACCCGGAAGCCGGAGGCTCCCACCCCTTTTGCCAAAGCCAGGGCCCCACCCTGGCCCCAACTCCTCCTCTCGAACCCGGAGACACCCCCACCCCCAATCCGGGCCCCGCCCACTAGGCCCCGCCCCCACCGCCCCCTGGGCCCCGG